TCTTTATAATAACAATACTAATAATCAATCATTCATTCAAAACCGACCAGGAGGATAACAAAACACATTTGGTTTCTAAAATATGCATGCTATTGAATTGTATATAAATAGCACGGCCATTTTACAAATCTATGCGCTAATACTTTGTACGCTACGACAGAGTTTTGCTGCAAGGAATTGGCAGCAAATCTTTTCTCATCCTTTCAAGAGGCTCCGGTTCATACAAGGTTTTCTACAGCGGAACAGAATTGTGTAATATTTAAGTAAATGGACGCAACCGTGAATCTTGATGAAAGGCTGAAGTAGTATAGGAAATTTAAATAGTACACCATATACTCTTTAGTCAAGCCTGAGGCCCTATGCATGTCCATTTAAATATTAGATACCACACAAGCCACAGGATTTTACTCTTAAATTAAGAGGTTTTAGATAAATATTGGTGGCACCACGAGACAGTTTGATAACTCCACAGGTTTTCTATAGGGACAGTTCTATGGATATAATTGTGGCATTGGCATTCTAATAGTTCTACTATATAGCCTAAGAAGCAGTATAGTGAGATAGTGATAGTGAGCACTAAAAAAAAAATAGGATTTTTGTTTCCCCCTCAACCACGCCCCCCTGGAGTAAAAAAAAAAGAAAGACGATTCGCAGGGAAAAAATGGCATCTAACAACATTCCCCCCTTTCGAGTAAGAAAATTGAGACAACATTGGGAAAATTGGGAAAATTGGGGAAAAAATCGGGAAGAATAGAGATAATAAGAGGAAAATCGGGAAAATCAGGATAAAATAGGGAAGGGAAAAAAAAATAATCGGGAAACCGATTTAAATCGGGTTTTTATCAGGCCTGGTAAACGCAAATTAATCTAGTGACTTCAAAGTGCTTCAATGTAATCAGTTTAAGCAGGTTTGAGCAGGTTTCTATAAATTCAATTCAGTATACACTGCACACGTTTCCAGTGCATTTTTCATTAAGTTCAATTGGATTATCATTTAATATGAGAAACCATGAGAGACACTTGCATATATTAGATTGGCAACATAAATTGGATATGATAAAAACACTTTATTTCAAACTACTTGTTTTTTTAAGTCGGTAACTTATCACATTTGATATATGATAGCAAATTGGTCTTCTTTATACACTATATAATATATACAAGGTAAAAACTCTATGAACAATCGATATAGACAACAGCGTTAAAGAGAGGGAAGATAAAGAGGGGTTACAAAGCAAGAAAGAAATTAATCCAAGAAAGAAAATATAATGGGTTTGATACTAGATACACTGAACATACATATAGGAGGTAAGGACACCCTGTTTTAACATCTTTGCTGATAAAATCTACAACTTGTATCCAAGACAAATCTGCCCAACTTTGACAAAAGGAAGCAAACAGGGGGAAAAAAAAGACATTTAGCTTTCATATTTCCCCCGTCAAAACATAGGAGTCTTTCCAACACTAGGGCTTTCTTCCGTTACAAACATGAAATCATGTTAAATACACTCTGATTGTCCACAATTTCAAAGTTTTAGAGCATCTTTCCAATATCTTTTGACAAATGTACATGTGTAAGATGATTGCATCCTTTTCTCAACATAGGGCAGATATTATGTAATGTTAATAATATCAATAGTACACTGCTACTACAAGAAAGAGACACAGTGCCATGATTGTATATAAGGAGTATATGAAAACACACACTTTTAAAAGCATAAGCGATCCATATACAATGCCATCCTGTCAAATTTCTGTCAAATTATATCACAAAAGAATCATGAAAATGTGTTATGATCCGACAGTTCCTGTAATGTTACATTCATTCAAATTGTACTTCAAATAAATCAAGCTCCATTCCATGAATACATCTGTATATGCCTGTTAACATCTATTGAATGATATTTTTAAAACGGCTGTACTCTTTAGCAAATTAAATGTTAAAGCATTGTTGTTTGCATGTACAATTGCATTAAAATGAAATTAGTTACAGCTTCAAACAGTTCCTATCAAAAAGACAAATATCTACATTGATAACTATCAGTGTCCTACTTCGGGGGTAGGCAACAAAATCTATATCTATGATATGCTCTGGGTAAAATATCTGACAGGATAGGAGAAATAAACTCTCTATATACATCCAAAGTAGCAATACTGGATCCATAATTATGCAGAAGAAAATATAACAAAGAAATCAAATTTGAACATACAGAAAGAAAACATACTCTTATTGCTCGTATTAACATTTGAATAGAGAAAACAAGACTTTCACAAGAAGCAATTTCGGTTTTGAAATATAGATTAAGGAAGATATAAGTATAGACATTTGCAGGCAGAAAGAATAAATTGATTTCAAAACAAAATACTTGAGGGGCATCTTTATAATGCTCCCTCCTTGCACTTAAAGTCTTTTTTTCAACTATTTTACAAAATGTACCTTTACTCTTTTTTTTCTCCCAATACATGTATATACTGATATTCTTTTATCTCTATTTCTAAAAGACAAATTACTTTTGAATTTCTTCTGAACATTTAATTTGAAAAATATCCAATGGAAAACAGATTTTAACAAGAACATGAGCCGGGGATTCTCATAAAAACCTATGTTTCTCACAAACTAATGAGACATGAGGAACATTGGGTCAACTCTCTGTGTGTAGCCGCCATTATCTGCACTGTTCTTTGATGTTTGCTGTGACAATTCATTTGAATTGGGCTAATTATCGGGACATTGGGATGATGCACCATTTCAAAGGGCCAAAGTCACAGACTGTTTATTGGAAAAGATAAATACCTTATAGATGGTGCAGCAAAACACATTACAGATTGAGATACGAAATTCCTTCATAGCATAGCAGAACTTTACATGAAGATGACTGCAAATAATTTGATCCATAAAGAAGCTAATAATTACATGTATGAGGTTCATTTAGGAAGAAATTAAATACGAAGAGCAATGGATAGAAATGTAGAGTAAAATATACTGATCTTCCACAATAATCCATGACTCAAAGATTGAATAAAACTTGAAACATCAGAACAAGAAACAGCTGAATAGAATCAAAATTAAAAAGCAAAAACTCTGAAAAACAGTATGAAAAAAGTTATATACAGGTTTGAAATATTCATTTATATATATATACACACGCAACCGTCTCCCAGCTTTAGCTTTCAAATATATCAGATAAAAGGGAGATATTAGAAGCTAAATTCATACGCTTGGTTCAATTATTACATCTTTCTCTCATAAAAAGAAATTTAGAAAGTATAACATTTCAGCAGTAAACTTTCATATTTCCAATGATAAACAAAATCATTAATTATCTGATCATATGCTGAAATATTCAGGATAAATAGGTTACCAATCTATTAAACATATGCTAATAAATAACCTTTACAATTTCAGCCAAAATACATTATACTGTATACTTCAGACACTTTAAGATAATGAATACCAAACTTGCACAATTTTTGCCTTTATCCACTTTGCAAAAGATGATGCTGAACATTGTAAGCGCATCAAGTTGCCGTAAACTGTTGCCAAATCCATAGTGTAAACCGAAAAGACAATATTTAATTTCTTCAAATAAGTTCACCATTGAATAAGGTCATGAGATTTTTAAATTCAATCTTTGCCACATACAACCAAATGTTATAAAAGGAGAAAGAGAAAGAAACAAATTTGGCTTAACTATATGATTTTACCATTAGATATATTGTTGCAAAGAAATTTTGGGGTAAAATAGATGTAGTAAAATTGATATAGTTGTTTCTACATATTTTATATACTAGAAAGGACCCTGTTACATCACATAAATAACTCATCTACAATTATTTCATGGCAGCTTTTACAACTTGCCTCATTTCGCTATATATATGAACATTTCATTACATCATATACAAGTTTTAACTCATATCCTGCCATAAGGCCACATGCATGCTACCGTGATAGTGTTTTGTACACGTGAGCGCGCTATCGATTGGCTGCTTAATTCACACAGCGAGCCACAGCTTAGCTGCTTTATGCATGCATGCTCGCATTCATAATAGCAGTTATTGTTCTGGATCAGTGTACTGAGCTGAGTGCTTTGCACGATATTATTGATCGTACCATCGCATGCATCAGATTATCTCAAAATAAACTTGGCACAGGGGGGATTTGTGGCTTGGCACAATGGGAATTAGCCCTGTGGCACTGGACTGTATTCATTATGGCAGGATAAGGGTTAAGGGGCAAACATTTATGTGCTGCCACTATCTCTCTGAATGTATCATCTGGGCAACATAAAAAAAACGTCGTAAATAACCTCAATTTGTTTGGCACAGGTATAGTATATAATGCAAACAGATACATCAACATCAACATCTCTTGAGTCTGAAACTCTACCACTGCATTTTTGTAAGCTACAGGAATATACATTTCATAGAATGTTACTGTCAAACTGATAGCTCTCTCTCAATTTTCACACTAAGCATCACTGAAGCATCACTAGAACATACGCAAGGAGTTGGCCTGCTTGATTGAATACATCTTCCTCTTGTTTTCAGTTCGTCCCGTTGACATTGCATAGATATATGCAAATGTTTGCTCTTGTTTTATGATTCATGAAAATCGCTATGCCATGAAAAAATGTCCGCCTTTAGGGTAAACGAGCACTTAGTTGTAATATATATTTTATACATTTTCACTCCAGTCAGGGATATAGAATAATCCTTAGTACTCTTATCTATCTATTCACTGTGAACTACAGAACTATTGGGAATACACACCATCATACAATGCACACAATTGCATAATATATGTCTACAAGAAACATTGTATTTAGGCCACAATTGGCTATAAATATGCAAGTATTTCTTTCTTATTATCTCTTTCCCTCACATCTCTCGCATGTCACCCACCATTCAGCAGCTCATAACTTGTCACCATCGTTTAATACTTTGGGTGAAACAGACGCTCTGCCGTCTCCAGCCTGGCAGAGCTGGTAGCTGGTTTTTGTTTAGACTTCAGTTTGCTTGGCAGGGAAGTTCTCTTGGGCGTTCACACTACTGGCATAGTCGCCGTAGAGCTCTTTCCCGATCCGACGGATCTGCGCTTCCACCTGCGGATACTGCTCCAGCACAGACTTCAGATCATGCACCGACAGTGAAAGGACGTCCACGTGGGTTCGAGCCCGGTACGAGGTTCGCCGTGGGACGTCGTAGAGGAGGTTGATGTCGTCTAGGAATTCGCCGGTCTCTAGAACCCTGGCAACACGAGAATGGCTGTTCACTTCCAGCTCTTCAACCTATAAAAAAAAAAATCATAAAATAAATATAAAAGTACACTTTAAAATTCCACTAGCATAGAGTGTACATTAAAAATCCAATCAAAAGTATGACTGATAAATCACAAAGATGTGTGTAAGTGCAGTCTGTCATACATGTTGATTGATAGGGGTTTAAGAATAATTGCTTTCACAAGAAGCTTGGATAACCCTACATATACATATCGTCGCTGTTTTCACGAAAAAAAATTGCATTCACTTTGCATTACGATTTTCCTCACTACCGTCACTTCGTGAAAACAAGGACGATATTACAACAAGGAATAAGTCACTAGAATTTCTTTTGGTTGTTTATTTTTGTTTGTTTGCCAAAAAAAAGACTTTACAGCTTTAATATAATATGTACTCCAATCTACTACAGAAAAGAACCCATTTCGATAGAAAACTGGCCCTCCCCTTAAAAAATCACATCAGAGTCGTTCATTTTCAAAGCAGTGACTACAGCATATTTTTTAATAACGTGTAAATGAATGCCAACTGCACGCAACAAAGGTCCTATGCATATTCATTGAGCTCTGTGTTTAACAGATACAAAACTGTGAAGCGTGTAACAACAGACGCCATGTTTTCTCCCCACTGCACATCTGAACGAGTGAGTATTAACCTCCCATCTGTATTGAGTACTTATTCATCCTAAAAAGTACTAGGAAAATAAAAATAAATGAGTATTCATACCACTCCTCTACAGATGAAGTACATTTCATCTCCTACGTCTCCCTGTCTGACAATCAGATCATTAGGCATGAAGAGAACAGGTTTGAGCATCAGGGAAAGAGCACGAAGGAATGCTTCATCAGCCTCTCGGAATAGAGCCACCTGTATATCAAACCATTGTAGCATAGTGTAGCACCGTATACAAACTTTATAATAGCAATACAAATAATTATAATAGTCAGATTAATGCTGTTTGCTTTAGCAGAGCTACGATCATAAAGACCTTAAGTATTACAGCATTTGCCACACATGTGTGGAGAGCAGCAATGTGGATTAATGTCTTGCCAAACAAGGTGGCATATGGAGACAATTTTGAGTGACACAGAGTTTAACTATTGAGTAGTAGGTCCATTATTTAACAAACTCTTTCCCTCAAACTCCGGATGTTATTATAATAATAATAACAATAATAATACTCAGTTTTATATAGCGCTTATTACAATCACTAAGTGTATCCAAACTTGGTGATTATTACCTCGGCTTTAGCTGTGCTGCCATTACGGCGCTCTAGCTTTCCAAAAAAGTATACCAACCTTCTGTAGATGATCGCCTGCGACATCGAGACTTAGATCAGTCTGGAGACAGAATGGGGCATCTCTGAATAGGATACTCTGATCTATACCCCTGCAAATACAAAGACAATAAAACAGTATGAACAAATAACATTCCAAAATATACAAAAGATGCATGCTCATGAACTTCACTTTCAATTCTAGTGTGGTTCTCAACTGACGAAATATGAGTATTCAAGAATACCAGTTGGTTTTATCCAGGTTCCCAGTTACAGGTTTACCACAGGACTCTTCATCGTAGTATCATTACTTTTTACATTATTTGTACACAGAAAAAAGACAATGCCAGCCAAAGTGCCTAAAGTATATTTCAAGACAATAGCAGTAGAAAGGAAGGCTGTATCCAGGCCCAATATCTCGAAAAGCACATCAAATTTGCAAAACATATTATAAGACTTTTATTGACTCGCACTATACATCGACTTACTTGTTGCGTGCCCATAAGTAGTCAAAGTAGCTGATGACTCGATTCCTCAGCTTACTGTTTAATCTCATGTCCTTCATTTGGTCCTGTGATGGAATGGTATGAAATAAGCAAGATAATAGTTAGATCAATTTATATAGTACAGTTATTTTATAAATGTACTTTACACTGCTGTGATGAATACAAAACTTCTGACAATTCTACTTTACAGACTCACAATTAAAAAATATTATTATGGATACAATAATCATACATAACTATGAAATACATTTTGAACATCTTGAAAATGCATGACAGTAATTCATTAGGGAAGATTAGAAGCAGACTAAGGGATGAATAATAGAAATGTATGTTTGTCTCTGTACCTTGACCGCTGCAAGTCTCTCCTCATAGCTGACTCGTCCCGACTCTTCGTTTGCGAGGGTGGAGGCGATGTTTCCGAGCACCCAACCAAAGAGTAGCTTTCCAAACACCATCACCATACTTGCAAATACTAGAACCAGAAGAAAAGGAGAAACATATTAAACAATCACATGTTTTCATTACAGCTAGGCTTCACTTCTAATAATGGAATTCCATTATGAGAAAAAAACTTAGCCCAATGTTTGTGTGACTTAATTCATCTTGAAGTAGGTGGATTGTTTAGACCAGAAAAATGTTATAAGCTGACAGACATTTATTTATGAGAATATTTCCCATAGACCAAAATATGATGACACGTGTCAGGACAACTAAATATAGGCCTTATACAAGTATTTTGTATCTTTCATCATACATACACATACTATCAACTTTGTTCACCACATTTCACTTTAATTGTAGTAAAGTTTGATTTTGTAAAGTTCCCATTTTCTGTCGTTACCTGAACTCATTACTTCTAATAAAGTCCAGAAATGTTTGTGAGTTTCTGATTCTTTTACTGCCCACGTGGACAAATCACAGTAGAAAAAGATTAGTCTTAAAATGCTCCCAAACCGTGAATACAACTATGAATAATACACAACTTCTGAAGCCTCCTACCCAAGTTGTTCATTTACAGATATCCTGCAATTACCACAAACTACATCTTGCAACACAAAGACTTACCTAGCTCAGGAACACTGTATGCATGGATATCACCATATCCTGTTGATGTCAACGTAGCCACAGCCCAGTAGATAGTATCACAGTAACGGTAGAAGATGTACGGTTCATTTTCTGTGTAACCTGTCAATGTTCAGATCAAATGGAACTCTTGATTATCAATGGAAACTCAGTGGGTGACTCCTATCCCAGAGATGCCAACCCTATAGGATGGCTGTCAGTAACATTTACCTTATTTGTCCGTAACAATTGGGGGTCTTTCCGTAATGCAAGACACCGCAGCGCAAGACACCGCAGCATAATTTTCGCGCAAAACGTACACAAACACCCAATCACTCTTACTGCATTTCGAACCTACCATTTTTAAGTCCAAAATAAAGATGTGCATAAAAACGTTTTTAAAAATCTGTTTCCAGCCAAAGGATCTCCTCCTCGGGTACTCGCTCTTTTGAGTGAATCCATGATAGTATTCAGGAAGAAAACACCTCGTTCAAGCGTCGAATGGCAAATTCAAATCCAAAGTCAAATGGCAGAACTCGTATCCTACACACGCACACGTACACTCACCAGTACCACAGACACACCAGCCCAGGCCGCTAGGCCCGGCGTTCATGAACAACAAAACACCGTATACCGCACTTGCAATGCGCCCGCTAAATCACCGAAGTCTTCGCTACTATACTATGAATGGGTATTGCGGGCGCCGCGCGCACCATCATCTACTTGTACCACCATGCTCCCCCCAAAAGGCACGACCGCACGTAGCATACTAGTATCAAAACAGTAATAACGGCGGCCGTGTTGTTTTGGAATTAAACAATATGGCGGCGGACGGACCATGTGCGCGAAAGTGCCTATCGAGTGTAGTCAAATTCAGTGAACTTATGAGTAAATGTGTGCGACATGCAGCACTGTGTACAGAAGCTATGTGATAAGACGGCATTCACTATAATGTACTTTTATTTATCGTTTCCCCGTAACCTTTTGATTGTTTACCGTAACGCCGTAACAAGAGCATTAAAACTGTAACAAATGCGGCGAAACCGTAACGGTTGGCATCTCTGCTATCCCCATTATGCTCAATTTAAAAGGACTACAGGTATCAGTTCTCATGCATCTTTATTTCAATAAGATAAGGTACCCTATACAATGCATATATTTTGGAGTCAATAAACAACGCTGCCATAAGTATTTAACATATTCAATACAATGAACAACAACAAATTTCCCCCAAATGTTAAGCCCAATTTCTACTTTTTCAAACATGGGTAATTATCAACAGAAAGAGAGCCTTTGATAGATTGAGTGAGAGGGGGAGAGAACAAGAGAGAAAAGAGAGAGAGAGAGAGTAGGAAAGAGAAAGAGAGAGATAGCAGGAGAGGAGGTATACATAGAGGAAGGAATTGAAAGGAAAGAAGAGGAGAGAGAATGAGAAAGAGGTAGAGAGACAGAGAGAGAGAGGGGAAGGGGAAGAAAGAAAGTGAGGGAGATAGAATAATGAAAAATAGAAAAAGAGATGGGGATAGGAAGAGAAGAGGCAAAAGCTTACCCATCATAGTAGCCCATGAGCCGTTTTTGCAATTACTCAGAGGACATGCTATGGTGTACCAGATGCTAGCAAACAGATGAATGATGATCAGTAGTAACACCAGGAACTTGGTCAATCTCACTTTCAAGATGCTGCAATAAAGATATATATAGTACAAAGAAGTTAGATTCAGATTTGAGTTTCACTCAATCTATTTGTATGAACATTATAATACAACGTTGCAGATATAAATGTGTGTAAGTGCTTTGGAAAATGATTATATATTAAACTTTCCTATAGGCTCCAGATTTTTACTAGAATCATGAATAACTATGAAAATACATGTGTGTACAATACGTCAACGCCAATCACCAAAACAACAGATTGCATCTATATATAGCAGACCTGCCAACCTCTGGAGTTCAACAAACTGTATTCTTTAATCCCAAAAGTTGTATTTTACTGACAAAAATTGTATTAAAAAAAAAACACAGACTGAAACATGGATCAATGCCTCTTAAATTCAGCCAGAGCTGCCAACCCCAACTGAACAAAATTCTTCTCCCTTTTTTTTTTGGATCGATAAGCACTTTCTCACAGTGAACATGCATTTTTTTTTTTTTTTTTTTTTTATGTTTGGGGGGAGGAAGGGTTGCCAATATCAATATGTTCCTATAAACAGGAAGACATTTCTGTATGGATCATTGGTTTAATATGCATGATTTCGTCATGACTGGTGTGTCCGATGAACCAATGGACATCCCAAAATTGCTGATGCAAGATGCTTGTAGGATACTTTACAGGACATATTAGGCATTGAAAATGGCACACACACAACAAAAAAACGAATCAAAAAAATGTATAAATCATATTTTATTGAGAACAAAATTGTACCGTCGTATTTACTTTGACATTTTTTACGACATACGTTGGCAGCTCTGATATAGGGGTCATACTTCAAATTTTCGGTTCAGTGTTTAAACAAAATAATAAATTCTCATGCTTGATAGCATATGTCAGGTTTTTCTACATAGCTGTCGAAGGCAATCTAAAATCAAATATATAGAAGTTTTAGTAATATACTTTTAAGGAATAAACACTTTTGATTTTGAAGGTAAGAGAAGATGGGGTAGTGAAATTAGTCTCATAAACTAATCTCATATTTGTGTACAAATATGTATACAAAAAATGAAACATGAAACTGACGATGCAGGAATTGAACAAACCCTTTAGAAACCTCTAACCATACTCACTTGATATTGAGTTCCTGTTCCCATCTGTCAAAGAACTGAGAGACACGCATCAGACGTATAACCTGACGGAACCGCAAGAACGACAGCACTGCAAATTGTTTGTCCCCCTGGGCAAGGAAGGCAAAGAGCTCTATGGGAAGCGTGGGTATCAAGTCCTGGGCAAAACCGCTCCACTTGCGTAAGTAGCTCTTGTATATCTTGCCGAAGTCTTTCTCGAGCGCACCATACTCGTCCGCATTGCTGACATGAAACTTGATGTAGATCTAAACGAAAAGGGCATCGTAGAAATTACTTGAGTTTCTAATATACTAACCCCTAATAGAACACCTGATGTAGATTCATCTACATACATGTTCAATTGTTGGACCTTTTGTAAACAAAGCAGGCACGCACTAGAAGAAAAAAAAGGAAGAATAATAGTTGATTGGACAGATAACATCCTGTTAGATGGCTGTTTTTTTTACAAATTACAACAATAATGTGAATAAATCTGATAAATGGTGAAGATATCTAAGGCTCTAGGAGCCTGTGAAAGGTGGATGAACTCACCTCAAAGATGAAGACACATTCACAGACGTAGCTGAAGATGAGGAAAGGCATGCTCTGAACCTGGTAGAATGCCTACATAGAAAAAAAAGGAAACAGAATACAATATCATTTTAGGGAATATTGCATTGAGATTTGATGCAAATCACAGTTTAATTATTGGTACACATAGTGATGTAAAAAAAAATCAAGAAATGATCTGAATTGATAAAGGTACTATTCACAATTGGAGGCCTTGAAGAAATATCTGTCAAAATAAAGACTGGGTGAATTAAATTCATTATTCCAAACTGTCCTCACCAGCAATGTGTTTAAATGATACTCCTATGAGAAGGAACATGTACAAAGAATCTGCCTAGGTATACATCAAGATGGGCCCCGTTTTATCAAACTTCTTCCTGTTAACTAGTTACAATAATTGCTATAAGCTAGTGCATTTAATTGGCCAAGAGCAAATCTGTCATAAAAAACAGGGCCCTCGACCATGTATTATGAGGCAATGTGGATAAATCATAACTCTTGATCTCACCGGGCCCACAATCTTTAGTTAAAGACCATAGAACAGGGCCCAGATACGTTAACTACCCAGGTTACCATAAGGAAAATAGAGATTACCTGATACATGATGGTCCACGAAGTAGCTACAGCCAGAACGCACGTCAGTCTGGCCAAGTTCCGCACCACTGGGCTGTCAGGGTTCAGAACGAAGCGGTTGGCATGGAGAAGTGCCTCTAGGTAGTTCTTGTCCCGTCTGATGCAGCAGAAGGGCATCGGGTAGCGAGTGGGTACGTGGGTCGTGGAGGAGGAACTATCAGGGGCTGACGGGTCAGACTGCGTGTTTGAGGCTGTGAAGATGATTTGAACTTCTAGAATCAATAGATTACATTACCAATCCGTATTTTTCTTAGTTGTTAACATAATCGTACAAAGAGGTATGAAGCAAAGCACCATCATAAATACACTGTGAAACTTGAAGCATGAATTCTCCATTTTATTGAAAAGTTAAGGCTTTAATTGACTTTTATCACACAAATATCACACTGTAAAAAACATATTCTCTTTCGAAAAATAAAATTAAAGGTATTTATAAGCTCAACTACTAATTAAACATCCACATTCTTATTCAGAATTGCTGCAAAATGGGTTGAGTAATAACAGACTAGAAAATCTCACCATTATTTCCTCCTTGGTTGTTGTTGTTACCACTGCCTTCTCCAGTGCTGGCATTGTTGTTGGCATTAGGCTGAGGGATCTGCCGGGCCGGCTTCATGGGGGCAGCACTGGGAGGTGGTGGTTCAGTAGACGTTGGCGTCGTGGCTGCTGTGCTGCTGACGCTGGGGCTTTCAGGCTCGCTCCTGTTATCGCTGGCGGCTGCAGCGGTACCGGTGGAATGTCCATCTTCCGGTTTGGTCTGGCTGCTGGCGTTGTCGGCTGTGGAGGAGCATGATGGGTGACCGCTGCTGCTTGCGCTTGCTGTGGAGTTCTCAGACTTCTCGATGCTGTTGAAGCTACTACCCTTGATGCTGTTGTTATTGCTGTTGTTTGGGGTATTGCTCTGAGACAAACAAGACACACATTCAACATCAATCAAAAATACATTTGGTACAGCACTATACAACATTATTATATTTCATAGTGACAAATGTTTTGAAGGGCTACATCATCAGAAAATGGTACTTATGGTAAAAAGAGGAAGACTGCCGAACCCCCGATGGCGTATCTATTTCCTGATTCAATAGAAATAGGAATCAGAATTGACTTTAATGTATTGGCATCTCTTCAGTAAAGAATCACAATTAATTTTCAGTTGTGATCGATATAAATCAATTGAAGACAAGGACCGAGGATTGCCTTTCAAATCCGTTTCTGAGAAAGAGAAGTTCAAGGACTCACTGCCTGGTCAACCTTGGCCTCACTTCTCTTGCGTACAGCAGTGATCCTATCTTCTGCAACCTTATTGATCTGGTCCTTGATGGATGGGTAGTGGGTCAGTACTTCGTCTAAATCTTCCTTGTTCAGCACAAACATGTCCACATTGTTCTGGGCCCTGATGGGTAAAAGCAAAAACAAAATACATAACTGCTGACAGGACACACCTCTTTCCCCATCTTTGCAACATTTTACATTTCACATTTTGTAGGTCAGATTATTTTGGGTTTCCAAGGGAAATTCAACATAATTTAGGTATTTAAACAAACGGCATTTCAATATTGCAACTGATAGGTATTACATGAAGAGTATGCCATTCACAACATTCAGAAAAACAGCTGCTGCAAGGCAAGCTTACCAAAATAGATTCTTCTCTGAAACCAAACTCAACAGTTTCCCATCTATCTTAAATATGCTCCGGCCAGTCCCAAATGAATATGACTTATAAGCTAAATAAATTGAGACTATAAACGATTATGAGGAATGCGTTACGATTAACACAAGTTTGTGCCTGGATAGTTCACCATACCTAATGGAGGCTGTTCTTGGACAACTGAAGACCAGACTTATTTCACCAAAGAATCTACCAGCTTGCATCGTATCGAAGACGATTGACCCGTCTTCAGAGACCACCTCAACGAGACCACGATGTATAAAGAACATCTGGAAGGATGGAAAACGAGTGTGATTATTACATATTATGCTTCTATAATAATTTAGACAGGCCTGCTGTACCAGTGAACAGTATTTGAAGATAGTACACTTCATCCCACATTCAGGAACTTAAGCTCACTTTAAATGTTAAACTTAGTTCCTACACATGGCCTTGCCCTGCATCTACCCTGGGCTATTATGTCTCCATCGTTGTGCAAGTTTAATTTTTGTAATTTAAACAAAAATAAAGTAGAGTAGATAAATTACTTTTATTGACTATTGGCCTTATAATAACCACATTGCCCTCAACCCCAACAAGGGGTTGATATTATTGTTAAATTCTTTTTCCAACCCCCCCCCCCCCCTTACTTCCACCCTGAAGTTTCAGCTTCAATTATTTTGATATTTTTGTTATATATCTCATCTTTCAAATGCTTAATCTTAGGAAAAACAAGATGAAACAAATGAGCCTTCTAATGGAAATATGCAAACATAGAAAATCAGAAAAAAAGGAATTGAATAATCTCAAGACGAAGATGAGCTGGAAATTCTACTTACTTCTTTTCCAAAGTCATGCTTGCGTACTATGTATTCCCTGTTGAGGTAGTAGACTGGCTTGATACACATGGCCAACATCTTTTGAAAGCCTATCTCTGTGTTCGTGAACAATGGTACCTATCATATCGCAGATGCAGAAAGAAAACAAAGTTATACAACATCTAACACACAATGACATCAGTGTTCTCACCTACATCATTACGCAAGATACACTTATGATACCAGATAGTATTTCAAAATTAAGCCATGCATTTTTAACTTCATATAGTGCAACTTCAATTCTATTTTTTAGAAAATTACTAATCACTAATGAATCACCTATTTAGCCGCTATAGATAAACAAAAAGAATAGCTAGATGCAATAAATGCCTTACCTGTACTCACTTATCCATGTGTTATTAGATAAGAATTTGGGACGTACAGAACGCTTTTGTTTTTAAATGTGGTAAACGACAAAGCTTTTCCACAAATATGGACAAGCCTCTATCATACATGCTTTTGTGTTAGCTCACAAAGGTACAATTTCTGTTAAAATCCAATCGAGGCAGGATGTTATTGCGGCGAGAACTTTGCAGCACTCAAAGTGTTGAGTAATCTAATACCTTGTTGATGATCCCTTGATAGAGGTTGAGGGAGACATCGGCTTTGAGAGCTAGAGGAAGTCCATCAAAGAGAGAGTCTGGTTCTACACCCTTGGTCCTTAACCACATGTAGTTGTAGTAGACGTCAACGTGCTGGGCCAAGGATTTCTCTACACGCTGATCCTGTACGTGGGCAGAATGGACAAATGGGAAGTTTTAAGAATCATACTCTGATACTCGAAGATAAATTATTAGTAACAATGATGAATACTATATAACAAATAACATTTTGAGTTCATATATTCCACAAATTACTCAAGTTTATATTGATTTAAGAAAAATATACAAAGCATAATGAACAGATTGAGATCTAGAATAACAACAAAAATGGAAAAATGTGGAGGGGTCTACTGAGAAAGTATGTGTAAAATGCCATTACCAGTACCATTTTGAATACCATTGTCAGTATCATTACCAATTCCTTTTAACAATACTATTACCATTAACAATCCTAGTACCAATACCATTACCGATTCCTTTACCAATAATATTACCAATACCATTACTACTAATACCATTACCAATTCCTTTTACCGATACCACTACCAATACCATTACTAATACCATTCTCAGTACCAATACCATTACCAATTCCTTCTACCGATATCACTACCAAATACCATTACTAATACCATTCTCAGTACCAATACCATTACCAATTCCTTTAACCGATACCACTACCAATTCCTTTACCAATTCCTTTTACCAATACCATTAGCAAAAACTATAATAAAAACCATTACCATGTATTACCAAACCCATTACCAATTCCTTTATCAATACCATTACCAATATTGTTACATATACTATTACCGATACCATTAGCAAGACTATTACCAATACCATTACCATGACCAATACCATTACTATGTAATTTAACACCCTTTCTTTACCTTGAGGTATCTTGCAATAGCAGTAAGCTTCTCCTGGTATCGTGCTCTCTGGGCGTCTGCGTTGGCCAAACTGGCTGCTACGCTAGCTATGATGTACCCGAAAAAGACAATACCAACGATCATGGAGAAGAGAGCCAAGATCATCTGAGAAGAAAAATCATTGGCAGATACCATGAGAATGATAGAAATTCAAAATGTAAGTTTTAAGAAAAATTTGCCTTTGTCATCCTTTAAATTAAACAATCTTCAATATACTCTTTGTTACTTGCCACATTATTCTCATATCATAAAAACGACACCTATATCTGATTTATTTACATGTAACTAATATTTTTGAAATGTGTATCACCTCATACATATCATCTCATTGAACTATGAGCCATATCGGTACAAATTTATGTTTTATGTTTAAATGATATGCCCTTCCCTGGCAAATCCATTGTCCTGGTCCATGTATACTATATTGTGATATATGTCTGTATGAGAATGATCCATTTGTACCAGTCTATTCTAATTATGAAAAAAATATTATATATATTTATTTAGACCATGTTTAAAGTGACTCGGTAACATTGTTGAAGGTTGATGAAAAAAATTGCTTAATTTTGTATAAAATGTTACTTACTATATTCCTTCTACTATACTAACCCTCTGACATGCAAAAAATCCTGAACAAATTCTCAAACCACAAAGATATCTATGGTTTTCTTTGAAGGCGTCGATGTGAGGCACCCTCTACCAGTGATTAATAGTAAATTCTCCCAACCATTTTTGAATTTTCCCAACCGTTTTTCCATGAGAAAAATACATAGAACAGGCTATACAAATCTGTCAACACTTAACTGTCTGGAATGGAATGTAGGGCCATTTTATTGCTTTGTGACGATTTACATTCACCTAAAATGTAATTCAATTGTCCTTGTCTTGATGCTGAACAGGCTTTGACAAGAAGCAGAATAGAAGTAGAATAATATAGTTGGGAGAATTAAGGAATCGATCAGATCAGTTTTTCCCAATTTGTACCACGAATAATGATCCGTTTTCACTCAAATTTTCAGATTATCTTTAATTGTACATCTAGCATTGAAGTCACTACCTAAGCACCACTATCTCTCATCTGAACAATGTTAGAAGTCCCTTTAAAGTATGATTATATTGCATTAATGGTTTTGTGCTCACATGTAATGACATAAGTAAATACTCATTATAATTTTTTTTTTAAAGCAAGAAAAAAGCAAAATTAAAAATAATTTGAATGTTAAGAGTTGAAAAAGGTTTTGTTGCCATGCTTTTTGCTCTATTTAATGACAATGATTATAAAAAAGCAGACAAGAAATCCCTAACAAACTGACCGCCTCCCCTTTCCCCTAAGAAATATACAGAGATATCATGTGCAGCTGAATGATGCACATTGGCTATCTCTTGTAAAGAATCTACCTGAATTAAAATTGCTTAATAATACAGGTATTTTCTCATTAACTTTGAGCACAAGAGCACCAAATAAGGTAAGCATACCTCGGAGACACTGTTGGCATGGATATCTCCGTATCCTACTGAGGCTCCGGTGGCTGAGGCCCAGTACATACTAGTCACATATTGGGCAGCAATTGGTTGGTCATCTATTATGGTAAAAGAAAACAAAAATAAAAACAACATATAAAATGAGTACACTACCTGTGACTTGACATATTTATAGAGATAATTGCTTTTCTAGAAAGCCATAAAATTTGAGTTTTTCCAGTTAATTCTTAATGTCTTATATATAAAGCCATTTATGTGTTTTTCATGATCATCCCACTTCAGATATCTTATCTAATATGTTCCTGTTTTGAAGATTACATACTATCATTGTTATGTTCACATATAAATAAATTAATGAATGAATGATTTAAATCAATTATCTTAAGTATTACTGTGCTTCTGCTATAAATGGCATTGAAACTCACAGAAACTTGTGTCCGTTTTGGACGTCCAGGAGTTGTTCTTGCAGCGGTGGAAGTTGGTGGTGATGAAGCCGTTGAAAGTCTCGCCGGTAATCGGATACTTGAAGACCGGTGGACAAGCATTCATGTACCACATACACGCCAGCATGTGAATGAATAGGACCATGTAGAAGAAGAACTTCATCATTCTGTGACAAAAGGGAAAGAACAAACGGAAGGCAATGAAGGGAATTGTTAAGTTCTGATTATGATCAAATTTTCAGTCAATCCGGTCTTCTCTATAAAGGGTACCTCTCTGCAGTGGTCGATTTTGTTTCCAATGTGTGGCCTTTATAAACAGGATTAAGTGACCACTCAAATGAACAAGGAAAACTGTCTTTATTGGCAGGTAGATTTGTTATAGCGACAGGTTCTTTTAGTACTGGTTTGCCAATGGAAAAATGATGCTCAAAAAGTGTTTTTTCAAAAATTATTGATAGATAAAATGTGTAGTCTTGACCATTCCGTGACAATTTTGTATAATTCTTTGAAAATTATTTGTTCTTGACAAGCTTATCTATCATGGGGGATAATAAACCATGTTGAAATCAAGTGTTTCTGGCTTTTTCTTACCTGATGTTTCCTGTCAAATTCTGGACATCGGACTCCAAGTAGTTGAAAGCAAGTGGCTGAAAGATAGATACAAGAAGTACATGGTATTCAACAAAAATTACTACATCTCTTCATAATCTCTACATACAAAATGGTGGTCATACATCATTAGCAAAGTACTTACCACTCTGTATAGCTGCAGAAGCCTGTTGATTCTCACCAAGGCATAGACATGAATAGCTTCCTCTGCGATACAAGAACATAACGACAGGACAATGAAATAAGAAATGTGCCATGACAGCTTTTTTTAGAGAGTTTTTCACACTAAACAACTGAAACAGATAGCATTTCAATATACATTAATTTTGTCTGATGTTGTTCTCAAGCTAATAATGATGAATTCAAACATGTCACTTAAAAATGACAATGAAACTTACTTCATGAACTCATGTACTCATGGTGATTCATTGTGAGCATTCCACTATGATTTATAGTTTATTGATCCTATTTCATTTTTGTAATGATGACATAAAATTGAACTTTACAGTAGAGGGAAGAATGAAACGTGAACATGGTAAATTTGTTGTGTATTTAAAAGAGAAAACTACAATCCATAATGACATTTAAATGAACATGAGGGAAAAATAGAAAGTGAACAAGGTTACTTTTCTTATACTTACGAGAGAAATTTCCAATCAATGCATAAGCTATCAGCTCGGTTGGGAAGCAAGCAAGGACGTCAATCAGGAAGTTGGTTCTTTGAGAAAATGAGAGAAATATCATGAGTTATTATCAGATTAAATAGATTGCATAAAAGAATTGGCTGTTCACAAGCATGTAAGTGTGTAATAAGTCCACCAAAAAAGGTTCAACATACCTACCGTCTGTTCGGAGCCAGAAGGTGTGATGTTTTGTGTACAAATCTATGAATCTATGCCCTTCTGGATCAAAACAGATGATGTAATTCATGATACAGACATGTTGTAAATTTCTTAGCGACTTTTTACAATAAACTGTATTTTTTCTCATTCATGATCAGGAGATTTCATCCTCCCTTCCATCAATACTGCCATTCGGTATAAAAGACATTGAAAATTCCTGCAGATTTGATGAGAGCAAGAATCACTCCTATTCATAAAGGGGGGAAATTGGAAATCTTTGACCAATATCAATTTTCCCACGGTTGTCTAAAATATTAGAAAAGGCAGTGCATAGGCAATTATTTATATGCTGTCATATCAACAATCAGGTTTAATGGTTATTATACTCCACAACAACTTGTGTCACAGAGAGAATATGGTAGAATATTTATTAGATGACATGAATACAGGTCAAATAACTGGTGGTGTTTTCTGAGATTTAAAAAAAGGCTTTTGATGTTATTCCCCTTCATTGTTTTCTTTCTAAGATGCTGTATGATGATACAAATGATAAAGAATATGCTTGATAATGACGTTAGCACATGACATGACATGGTAATGCTTACCTCAGATAGTGCTTAGCAGTTGACAATGGATGAGTGACTAGCACGTTGCTCTCATTGTAGAATGCAGTGTGGAACTTCAGGTACCTGTTCAATGAAACAAAGAAGTTGTCATACCAAGCTCGTATCAGTTTAGGTAAGTGTAAGTTATAGAACAAATTATATCTCACAAAGTAAAAATCTAGCAACATGATTGGTCTAAATAACTTCAAAATGAAAAATGATAGATTGCATAACTTGACAGTCATAGTGATAGTAAAACAACCACATATGTGATAGTATATTTTTGCTGATGCTGAATAGGCTAATGGACAATGGTTTTGCAAAATATGCGTATGCTAATGTAAAATAGGTCAAAGCTGAGCGGAGTCTGCTGAGGGCTCACAATCTGTCAATGGAGCAGATTGATGAAGGAAAAGTTTATTTCTTGGAATAGAAGTTAGTAATTAATTCTAGTCAACATAATTTGTAACTAATTAGGTTTTACTAGTATTGGTAACAAATTATTTGCAGTTCTTACATGTCAACGAAGCAGATGAAATCTAGGCCGTAGGTGACGACCCAAAGTCCGATGTTCATGTGAAGGAAAGCCGCTTGAAGGGTTACCGTGAAGGCAGCCAGGATTGCCACAGCAACACGGATCGCTTCCCAACGCTTGAAGCATGTTCCATTCGGGATGAAAGCACGACTAGTTAGGTTGATGAGAAAAAATAATAGAAATACAAATCTAGAGCTTATATCTATATATTATATAACATTGAACTAAACGAGGCATACAAGTACATTGTGATAACGATTCATATACCCAGTAAGCTATAAATGCAATGACAAAATAAAGAAACACAGAAATAGAGTATCAACAGTTCCTTAATTGAATTTAATATTGACATCTTTATTATTCTCCTTATTTCATTATTATTATTTTTATTAAATTATTATTATTATCATTATTAGTAGTAGTAGGAGTACTATTATCAGCATTATTATCAATTTATTAACATTATCAATATCATTATTATAATTAATATAATTATTATCATCTTTGGTATATTGTTTGTTAGATTGACACAAACAATTGTTTTGTTTTGTTTCAAATCAAGAACTCTTGTGCTTCTGTGACACCATCCCCTGTCCTTTCATTACTAAATGCTAAACAATATAAATGCTTGCCATGAATATATATATATGTTTACAACCATTAGGGCATTAACTCATATACTTTAACACAGAGTTAATGCCCTTCTAGCTCCAGACAGGAGACATAATGAAAATCTTGAATATAATCATTATAATAATCCCAAGAGTATAAATAGTATGAGTATTTTGATGACTGGGCATAACATGGGGTATCCGTTCCTTCCATTGATGAAAGGAGCAGGGTATTTTTATACCTCATGAGAAGTTTGGCAAAGAGACGACTCAGCAGACTGATTTCCTGGAATGGCTCCTGGAAATCCTCACTTTTCCTGCACAGAAGAGACGCATATAGATATCAGTACATTATTAAACATCAGAAATCATGATTATAACGATAAACGTATTTGTGAGAGAAGTTTTCAATTACGGTACCATCTCTTGTCATTCATTTATCCATATGAAAGGACTTCTTCGACACCAGATGTTAAGGTCATTGAACCATTTCGGAATGTTAAAGCCTGTCTGCACTAGATTGGCCAGGATCATTGACAGGTGGTTAATTCATTACATCAGCTCTCAACTACCATACGAAAAGGGGGATCATGGGGAACCAACAAGTACCGCTTAGGCATTGTTTGGTATATAGAGGGCACAAGTAGCTACAAGTAGTGCAGTCCCGCTTTAAGAGCTGTATAAGACTAAATATTCAGGCTGGTTACAACTCTGCCCATGGTAACCATACAGCTTACAATACAGAGAGATGCCACCAACGGTAAAGAGTGCATTCAAGGAGTGATTAGGAAGAGTTATTAGTTTTTTAGGTTAGGTACTTCATTTCTTATCTTTCTTGGTGATCCTTTTTTATGTGTTTTTATGTTACATATTGTATCATATTGTATCTTGTTTTCTTAACGGGTTATCCTCTTACAAGGTGTGTTTCTTTTCAGCCACTGCCTTCCTCACTTTGTATAATTCATGTTATGTGATGTCATACATTTGTCTGCTTATGTATTTAAATGAAAATTGACACTTGAGACTTACTTGTCAAAGATCTTGATGGAGATATCTACGGGTCTGAGAGAGGTGGCTGCAGGGTAGAGAGACATGTCCTCGGAATCCTCATCATCCTCTGGCTCCAACACAGTACCAGGAGCTGTCAACAACAACATCACAATAGTTATGATCTGGGCCCTGCCTTACAAAGAGTTACGATTGATCCAATTCAATTGCAAGTCCTCCAATCAATCGCAAGTTTGCAGTCTCCTATCTCTTATATAAGTAGATTGATATCAATTGCAAATAAGTTGAGATTGATATCAACTCTTTGTAACACATGTCCAGATTTAAACATCCTATGACATTGGCTGGCCTTTTGTCGCAAATGATTTATTCTTGCTTTGCCATGAAATTTTTCTTGTTTCAGTTTTCCGAAAAAGTAAATGGAGCTTTCCTATCAAAATTTGTAAGCCCTCAAACTAAGGTTTGAAAACAAAGTTGTGTAAACAACTTTAACAAATATTCATTATAAGTTAGTAAACTATTAACTAAAAACATTGTTCCAAACAATGAGGCTACGTAGTACATACACTTGAACGCTCTCCCGCAGTAACCATGTTTTTAATGGCATTTTGATATGTGATTAATGTTTGTGAGTCTAGCTTCTAAAAATTGCTTGAACGCACCCCTAGATGTTGACTTACTGAATTCAACTGGTTTCTTGTCTACTTTGGATGCATCTCTCAGCTCTCTCAGATGGCCTTGGTTCCTTGCTGCATCTGAGAATTGCCTGTAAACACACAAAGAATAGACACAAAATAGACAAATGAGTGATCCAGGATTTGTTTAGACTAGAATATAATATCAAGGTATAGCCAAGACTTATATACAATGGTGCTTTGCACCCAGGTGAGGTAAATGGGTACCCGGTAGGAAGAAATTCCTTGAATGCTTGAGCACCTTTTCATGGTAGCTCGGGTAGAGCCGGGGTAATGATGTGATTGCCAAGCCCTCAGAACAGTAGAACAGTAGGAATAGTGGCAAGGCTATCCTTGGTAAACAGGACATATTTCTAACAATATATTATTATTATTGTGGGTTGTATAACAGATACTAATGAGACGATTGCTCCAGTTATTTCTTTCATTTAAAAAAATCCAAATTTCACCCCTGGATCTAGCACTATACCTGAAGCTAACATGAAACCAAATCATAACCGTAAGCCAAACTTTCTATTTTTTGACAATTTAAAGCCTGGAGTAATCATCTCTAGAAAAATGATACCAGACAGAAACCCTTACATTGACTCGGTAACATTGCCTCAGATTCTGAAACAAAGCCCTAATCATAATTATAAACATTTAGGTCAGTCAGGAATCCCAAGACTTTTAGAACTTGCCAATAGCCTGTCTGATTATCAAGATATTTATGATTGGAAATCAAAATGTCATTTGTATAACACTACACGGTATTAGGGAAAATGAGTATGGTAAAACCAATCACTCAAAGATTTTTTACTTCATGAGGCACTTCATCATCATTTTGAAGAGCAATTTGTTTGGGGCTCCGATATTACACCATATCACAGACACTGATTACACGTAGGGCCATGCATCTCATATTTAACATTATATTGATAAACGATGCCTTTAAACTTACTTCTCAATCAGAGGGAAGAACTTGAGCACCCGGTCGAGATCCACTCGCTTCAGCATCAACAATTCACAGTATGATGCTGCACGCACGGTGGCCGTGCGGTAATCCCCAAAGATTAGGCCAACCTCGCCAAAGTACTGGCCAGGTCCAATGTTGCTCATCACATGATTGCCGTCTTTGGACAAAACCTGGGCGGAAAATGTGACAAGAAAGCATGTATTCGGTTAAAGAGAAGTTTGTATAACCTAGTTAAAGTGCTGGAAAGATTTAATGTTGCTCATTAAGAGGTTACCATCTTTTGACAAAACCTGGGTAGGAAGAGCAGGGAAATGGAACAAGGCAACACGGATAAATAGTAACAACATTGGAAATGGAGGTTTGTACAACTTTTTACATGTAATGGCAAGATTCATGTTGCTCATATATTGGAAAAATCCATGGCATGAGTACGGACAGAAACAAGAACTAATTTATCAAACAGCATATTACGTTAGGGCTCAGGGCGCATTGTTGTAGTTACACCAAAACACTGCTGAAGAGCAAGGGAACTGACATGGTTAAACGAAAATTGAGTTCTAGGTAGGCTCACCTCAGATCTTCTGATAAGCTGCATGTACATCCTGCATGTAGCTTCAAGTTCTAAACATGATTTCTGTTTTTACAGGAGCTCTTTCAAGATTTGTTGCAGTCAGTGAGATTTCATCACAGTGAATTGGATACGTCTCATTTCATTTACAGTTGTCCATCAGAGCCCCCTTTTCAGTTTGTCTAATGATTTTTTTGCTTACTAGAGCAAAATCAGTCATCATTTAGGTGGTTATTGTTACTTAAATTATGATAAATTTTAAATTGAGTTCTTGGTTGGCTTACCTCACAGGTACCTCTTCTGATGAAGTACATCTCGCGACCCATATCCCCCTGATATACGATAACATCACCAGGCATGAAGATGAACACATGGAGCTTCAGTGCAAGCATGCGCAAGAAGTTAGAGTCACACTCCTTGAACAGTGGCACCTACAACAAAAAAAAAGCAAACATTAAGCACGTCATGAGCATTGGATTGCTTTACGTACTGTGTTAAATCCACCCCTCAAGTTGTCTCGTCTTATGTTTGGAGTCAAAAGGGAGTCAACTCAAAGAAGACAAGCATCATTGGTAAATATTGGTACATAGACCCTCAGAGCACCATCAAATATCCAAACATACATCACAGCTATTAAAGACATGTAGCTTCAGACCAAAGACATGTGCAGGAATTAAGAAACGACTGTGAAACAACACACACAAGACAAATTATCAACCCCGTATTTATTTTCCCCTTTTCTGTTTTATTGATATTAATAATCCTCACAGTATCAGTGGGCCTCAAGCATTATCTGTAAAGCTTTTTTAGCTTACGAAAAAAAAAAAATCTCTAGTCACAAAGTGTGAAATCAAGAATTAGAATTTCAGAGGTTCACATATCATCTGCAGCATTGTAAAGGGAGCTATTATCTAGTCCATTGCCTGGACTGTTTCTGTGTCGCGCGCCCATTCAGCTGAGAAAATAACACACCCTCAACGCTAAAATAGAGACAGTCCTTGCCTTTCATTCTTACCCTCGCTAGTGGCAGGGATATTTTTGGGAAAAGCGCAATCTGTGTGGGTTTTGTGATGTGTATAAAGGACAACATAGATGAGTGAAGGACAAAAAATATTTTAAAAACGGGACAGAATCTGGGTCCTGTTTCAAAAAACTTGTTACCATTAACCAATTACAGTGAATGTTATAAGCTACTGAAATTGTGGGATTTGATTGGCTGAGAGCAAATTTGTCATAGAATTTCAGCATTTGTTATTGATAATGAGTTTTATGAAACAAGGCCCTGGACTAGCTATTACCTTGCTGAGTGTCTCATGTACATCCTGGTAGGCGATGTCCTGCTGGAGCTGAATGGGCATGTCATGCATGACACGCTCTCCACCAGGGATAGCTTCTCCTCTGTCAAGGAAATAACAAGTATGCAGGCCGGGGTAAGAAATGGCTTTACTCAATAATCATGAAAAGAGCAATGATCAATTTGTACCAAAATTAGGGCCAAAGAAAAAAATCTATAGTGGAGGGCTGGCAGGGCGTCAATTAAGATCAATTCTTGAATACCTTCCATACAAAAAGTAAGGAATTTGTTTTCCATTGTGGTAGAATGAAATATACCTTGTCAAAACAGGCATGCACAAGACATTTGATGAGGCTTTTGATTTCTAATACTACATAATATTGTTTAGCTTGAAATGACTCGAATAGAATTACTATTGATGAATTAATTACATGTCAACATATACACATAGTAGCTAGGGGGCTCGGGTGTTTACCCAATAACACTTATTAACAGGTGTTGTCAATCACCACGACTAACCTTCGGTTTTTCAATATGACTAACAGGCCTTATCATGTATGTAATGGTCTGCATTTTCCACCAATCCCCAACATGGAAAAAAAACATTGCTTACATTTTTGTCACCCGAAGACTCTCTGAGAAACTGGGGCTATGGGTTAGCTGTGTGCAAGACTTGTAAAATCATTAATGGTATGGCCACCAAGTCTGGTGTCAGCAAATTATGACCTTCTACTCTTGGAAACTGATGACCTTCTCTCTTTTAAAGTGATTCATGCATGGGTAAAAAGAGGGCAGCACACTGAGCCAACGGGTATTACGCTCCCGTGCATGCACATACAATGTACTAGTATCCCTTTGTGCGTACGTCCGTACAGGAGCATAATACCTTTTGGCTCAGTGTTCGCCAAGTTGCCTACTTCACGAAGGACTATATATACCCACGCATGAGCATTTTTTAAGCAAACATACCTGTGTCTTCTGAAGACCAGACTGAGATAGTTGACCACCCTCTGTTGAAGATCTGGAGTCAGGTTGTGTTTCTTCATGAAATCCTGAGCGGCAAACAGCTTCTCCTGGAAACCCACTCTGTAGAAAGCAATTAAAAAATGATGGAAGGATCTAGACAGGTATTCTTCCAGTTCTTCTACATATATCTTTATAGTTTTATCAGGTTCAAATGCATTTGTCACAAATAATTCTTTTTAATCAGTTATTGACCAAATCACACCTGCACAATTTACATTCACATTTTGAATTTCAGGAACAAATTGAGCTCTTTCTAATTTAGTCAAATAATCTAACTCTTGCTTTTAGAACCAGTAGTAGTACAGCATGGAAATGTTAATCCATTGCCTGTCAGATGCTTTGATTGCACTGCATTTTTTCCTTTTAGAACGGTAGAACCTAAAAGTACTTGACAATTAAATCAATCAAAGCAACATATACAAAATAAAGAAACATATAAAAATAGAATTGATTAAAAATGTTACCCTATAGACTACTACAATTATTAACGACAACAGGTTGAAATAAAAAATATTTTTATTTGCTTGTTTCTGTAGTTCAAACTAAGCTCAGGAATTTTTGTCTCTTTTAATGTTTGGATTATCTTTTTTTCTCCTGAAAGTATTCAATATTGAAATGTATTTTGTCCGATTTGTTTACAAAAATGAAAAAGATCATGATTATAAATCCTCGCCTGTACACCACCATTTAATGCCCTTCACCACTAACCTTGGGGCATCAGAGTTTGCCAGCGTAGCAGCGATGGAGGACAGGCAGTAGCCGTAGAGGAGGAGTCCCACAAGCATCGCAGCCAGGGCGATGGCGCGGCCGATGGTCGAATGCGCGCTGATGTCTCCGTAGCCCGTAGATGTCATCGTTGCCGCAGCCCAGTATAACGATTGAATGTACTCGTGTGACGGGAGCGTGAACACCTCGTCCACCGGCATGTCCACGGCAGGAGCGGCTTGCGCACCGTCGTCGCTGCTCGAACATCGTGAGGGAAGGAAAGAAGATTAGTCGGATTAAAATCACAAACTGACTCGAAATTACCAAATGAGAAGAGTACCAACTGAGTCAGAACGAACCCAGGTAATTCTACGGATTCGACAATCAACCGAACCCATAGTCCAATGACCCTCATAATAAAAAATCTGCATTTCGTCAGAAATTGATGAACACATTTACACACTGTACGTAGTCTCCACAAATGCCAAAATGTATAATTAATAGTAGACCTAATACCATTTATTTTACAAGTCATAAAGCGGTATTACTGCACACACTGACATTTTAAGTCCGTTGGACCACATTTTAATAAGATACATCGTTCATTAATACTTTAAGGATTTCAACTCCCATAAGATATATTAACTCATAAAAAAAGTATAATTATATACAGCCTTATATTAAGACTTATTATCTCTGAAACTTTAATCCAATAGGAAGTGCCAACAATTAATAATCGATTAAGGTTTCGTCTTTGAGTTTGACACAAATCCTCTTACAAAAATGAAATATATGAGCTGCAGGTAATGCTCAATGAAAGTTATTTATTCTTCTCTTTTCTTGGCGTTGTTATTGTCCGGGTTTTATTTTTCTAGGGGGGGGGGTAGACATCGAAAATATTCGTAAGGATGTTCAATATGCTGTTTAGATGATAGAAGATGATTTTAAAATAAATTTAAAAGCTTAAAAGAGCCTCATGACCAGGAACATTAGAACTTCATGTCTATCTTTGGAAATATCGACTTTAATGTAATTATACTTTACAGGCAATTTCTGGGAAGTTTTTCCAGTTGTACGTATATACATATTTTGGTTATGACATAGAATACCGTGAGAGGAACTGAAATCAAATAAATTTACTCACCTGTAACGTACATTTCAATAATAATCAATATCTACGAAAAGTATATGGATTATGATAGTTGTAAGCATAATATCGGCCTATGCTAAGAAAATTAAATAATCTAAGAAGCGCAAGTTAGTTGAAAGTCTATTTGATACTGTCGTATTCTAAATGAGAGTTTGCCCGCAACCTAGGTATTAGTTAAGCGGCTACTGAATAGGCCTGTCTAGAAGCTTGCAGAGAAGATAGCCAAATTGATATGATATGCGATAGAAGAAGCATAATATGAAGGCAATAATGAGCATGATAAATACAAATGATAACAAACACAAATGGTAGCCACAACCGATGTAAAAATAAGTAGATAAATAAATAAATAAATAGATCAATGAGAAGAATAACAAAGCAAGATCATACTTTGGCTATTTAAAACGAAGCAGAGACAAAAAAAACAAAAAATAATAATTACAATACATTTGATTTTGACTGTATGGACTAATGAAGCTAATGATGAAAATACGATTTTTTTTATTTTTTTTTGTGGGGGGGGGGGGGCGGCTAAAGAATATAGATCTGATCAAAAACCGTTATCTTCTTCCTAATTAAGAATCATCAGAGACTTTCATTTCAATGATTGGAGCAATTACTTTTTCCTATTTACAATGGATTTATGATATTGTATCTCCATAGTAAAATCAGATCCGTATACAAACTATCTTTTGTTTTAATAGGACAGAATGGGAAAGAATTATCTACAAGATACCTAGGTTGAATATTTCCTTATCTTATGAGAGTCATGAATAGCCAAATATGAAAAATAATTACATACTGTACTGTCGGTTGAAAAGGAAAAACGGCAAAAAGATGATTTATGACGAAAATCTGAAGAGCAAACATTCATATGGGCTGTTTCTTCGAGTCAAATGAAAACTGCTTTTCAACTTTGATTTGACCATGCACAAAAGCATGACACAATGCTTCATGAGTTTACAACAAAGATCAATTTATGCCACAGTACCTTTCATTTCCAATGATCTTTATTTGTACACATGTCTGTATCCAAATGTTGGGAAAATGGTATATATCGACAATGTACGATGGATGTCATATATTCGTATAGTAGTCCATTGAGGTTGTGCATGATGATGATTTTGAATTTGCAGTAAATGTCATTCTCATTTACAACATGTTGATTTTCGGAACGTGTTAATGGAATGGAACGGCATTGGGAGGTATACTTCTACTGAACATTTACCTTGACGTAGATTCATTGTAATGTAAACAAATAATATCTATAGCTGTAGCTATTAAGATTAATCTATATTCACCTAGTCATAGTGAAACATTAGCAAAAGTATTACAATAATACCATTTTGTGTAGAGGGAAATAAAGAACTTAAATTATAGAATGTCTCATTATTTCACATGAGTTGATATTTAACAGTGTATACTTCAGCTCCCCTGCAACGAATTTCAAAAACATTTTAAGTACATTGAATGATGAATAAATATTTACTACTAAGTCTACTGATTATCTATCTACAGAGAATGAACTAAGTTACGGAAACTTTTCCATAGAAGAGAATAAAAGGTCATGACAAGCAGTTATGCAGCAAGATTGTAAACAAGTTGCCAAAGAAGCTCATGCTCCGAAAAGAAAAGTCATTATGAAGTATAGCAAACTACCAGAAGAATAAACTAATATGTGTGATGATGTCTTCCAGTAAGATTAGAAAGCGCTTCGTATGGTAGCCATCAGCTTAATTACAATCAATCACCATTATGTGCATGCAATGAAACTTGCCTCTAAACTGAGTCATTTCTAAACTGAGTCGTTTATCTAAAGTTCTTGATAAAAAATATCGAATTGTTTATTTTTAAATCGAGGAAATGGTTTTAAAAACAAGGAACTGAAGCTTTGATGCTCTAAAGTAAAATTGATAATTTATAATTAGTTTAGTAGTTCATCTGCATTCTAATTGTAGGTCAGTACCAAAAGAGCTTAAAGGTTGCATACTTAAGTTTGCTGACCCCGTTTTTTTGTTTACATTTTTGTTTTTAATATTTGTTGAATTAAGACCAACGTTTTTAATGAACTTCATTAAATATCAACGTCCCTTCTTAAACAATGTGTACATCGTTGGTGTAACGCATCTTCTTGAATTGTACATTAGTTACAATTTTGAGTTGTGTAGCCTTAGAACCGATGCTTGTCTGCAATGTATTCTGTAACTTAACTTCTTAAATAGTTACCGTCAGAATTAGAGGCAAGTTGTAGGAAGAAAAATTAAAGCAGCAATGATATACAGAAACCCGAAGCCAGAAAGAGAAAGCGAAATATGGAAGAAAAAAATTCATTCTTCACACATAAATGGATGAGAAAAAAAATAGGAAACCATTCTTTAATGCTAACCTCGTCGACCCCTTACTGTTGAACACGAAATGTGCATCGCTTTTGAACATGTCCACTTGACAGCTTCGTGTTGTAATCCAAGTTGGAAAAGGGGGAGGGACACAAACCAAAGGAGGAGGGGCAAGACATACACAGGGAGGTGGTTACCATAGTCATTTGACAAGGAGGGCGTGATGTGTACAAGAAGGGCGGGGTTTAGTGATGTAAAGGGTTGGGGGAGAATGTTAGATAAACGTATAATAGAAGGAAAGTTGTAAGTGGGGTTAAGATAGAAACAAACAAACAAAGGATGGGAGGAAACATTTATCATCGGGTAAGCATTGAAGAAACAAAAGGGAGAGAGCGGGGAAAAACAAGTTGTATTATAAAGATTAACAAGACGGGAAAAAAACGAACGTTATTGTCAAAAGTAAAAATTTCAAGTGTTATTTGTACTGACTGATCAATTAACGAAACACCGAAGACATCCACTTAACAGCTAAACACAACTGTGTTGAGGGGTAAAGGGTGGGGTTGCATGTGCGGGTTGCCAAAATGGTTTTAATGCATTGGTGTTCATGAAGGGTGGTTTTACACGATCACAATATCACATGGACAACATGTATCTAGTTCGTGGGGAGTGGGAGAGGGGAAGGGGAAAGGGAAGGGGTGATGCTCTAAAATCATGCAAAACATAGTACAATTATACCATACAGATGTGGGATGAGGGCAAGATTTGAGGGGTGGGGTGGCGATCTATACCATCAAATGAATTCATAACGTTTAATAGAACGTTATTGCTATACTTTTCTACCTAAAATATAAGCTACGCAACTATGTAGAATATTTGTTTTAGCTCTCTAATTCCACGAGTTTAAACATATTGATATTGTAGATATGGCTATAATCTGCATCATAAATGTAATATGTGTGTGTAATACCGTGGTTACTGTGCGCAAATAAATGTAGTGCTCATAGAAGTAAACTGTTTCTTTTAGAAATAATACTGAATATATGAATAGTATCTACAAACGAACAGTTCTAAACAAACGACTTGTTCTATAAATATAAACATGTCGATGAGCTAAACATAAACTGAGATTGAAATCAAAATGTTCGTGAAAGAACAAGAAAATATATGAAGAAAAGCCTGAGGGCGAGGACACAAATGCCAAAATGATATATATTGGTTGGTACAGCGTAACTACTAGGACCAAAATAAGGAGAAAGTAGAAAGGGCGACTCTAACTAAGAAAGTAAAGTGATATTGTCTATTAAAAAGTACATGAATTCCACAGTGATCGACAATCTGTTGTTTCGGCGAACATGATACAAGAGAAATGGCAGCGTTGAACGAATAGCATTTAAACTACAACATTACAATATCAAGATCATGAGATTGGCAATTGCGTTAAAATGTAACAGCAATACGAATATATTCGTTGAAAAAACAACAGAACCAGAGAACAGAGAACGTTAACCAAAGAACAATCTTTACACGTATAGTTTTTGTTTTAATTCACGATTTTAAGTTCTGTGTGTTTATCTTTTTGTAGGAGAAGCGCAAAATGAACTGGTTTTGAGAATACACGCATGAAACAAGATATTTTTCATTTTGCTTAAGTCAACGAAATTAGCACGTTTATTAAAAGTTGAAAAAAAAATTCATGTAGTTCTAGTTGATTTTGCATTTAAAAAACATGTAACTATTTACATATCCAAATATCACCTTTTGTATCA